AGATGGGGTTTCACCATATTGGCCAGGCTGGTCTTGAACTCCTGACCTCCTGAGGTGATCCACCCACCTCAGCCTCCCAAAGTGCTGGGATTACAAGCATGAGCCACCGCGCCCAGCCTTAATTTGCTTTTGATCATAAATGCCGTCTTTGACATGCTAAGCATGGCATGTGCATTGCCTTGCTTCACCATTTGAGACAGGTTATCCACATTAAACAGGTGAGGAGGAATCTGAGGCTGAAAGAGGGAAGTAATTTGTGTAGGTCATAACACATAAGTAGGAATTCTTGAATGAGTGGAGCCAACAAAGAATGAAGAGTGTGTCAGCTTGCTCAGTACTGCTCAGATACGCAGATGGATAGAACTCACAAAATCTTTGTGTAAATAATATTAAATATTAACAATACGTAATCATTTCTAATTATTTTTTCATGTTTTACCATTTTTACCTGACAGTGTTTCTCTGAGACATATAGAGTTGGAAATCATTAGCCCATTTTTTAAAGTGGCAATAGACATTAAGTGATTTATTGTTGGGAAAAAATAGCGCCCTCTATCACCAATGGTCTCTAATACAAGTTTGGTTTAGCGTGATCTTTTACTACGTGAGAAAGTTGGAAATCATTAGCCCATTTTTTAAAGTGGCAATAGACATTAAGTGATTTATTGTTGGGAAAAAATAGCGCCCTCTATCACCAATGGTCTCTAATACAAGTTTGGTTTAGCGTGATCTTTTACTACGTGAGCAATAAAGTAATAATTTGGGATGTTGGCCCCATCAGAAAGATTATTCAAAAACATATTGCATGTTGTGATGCTGGTCTACATATTTTTCCTCTTCATAGAAGCAGACTGCATCCACTACCACCCCCATACCAAGAGCTAAGCCACATTGAGTCATTTGTTTCTGTTTCAAAGGTAGATCTGTCTTTCTGCAAAAGAATGAATATCATGTTCTTATAAATTCAATACTCTTTCAAATCAACTTCCAGATGGGAATGCCTGTGGGGTTCCAAGCTTTCCTCAACAGCTAGCTGATGCAGAAGGAGAGACAGCAAGGTGAGTGGGAAGCAGTGGCCAGAGCTACTTCCTCCTACAGCACTTTCTCACACATCCCTGGAGCAGAACAGCAGGAAACAAGCAATATCATAGGTTCTCTTGAAACACTTGTGGGGAATTAGGAGATCTAGGGAAGAGAGGAAGGTCTGAAGAATTTTGAGTTGAAGAAAGAAGTTTAGGTTCCTGGCACAGTTTAAGTTCCCCTTCTCAGGTAGATTTGTTGAATAATCTCTATTGGATGGTATAACCATTTCCTGCTTTTCTAATTCAGAATATTCTTTTTCAAGTTAAAGGTAATAGCTGGATTTCTTATGCCACTTAGTATTTCAAGCAGAAAGTACTTATTAATTTGATGGCTCTGGGTCAAAAAGCCTTTTGGTCAAAGGCAATATAAAATCATATTTAACAGGAATTCCTGCTGTAATAGTTTCCCAGGCACAGCAAGGAACATAAGAGAGGTATACACCCTTCATGAGACAGGGACTTTTAAGTGCAGAAGGTAATGTATGATCATAAAAATCATAAAAATGATCATAAAAATGAGGCACCTATCTCTAAGTGGCATGAAGGGAAAGGATGGACAAAAATCACTGGGGCTGGCATGGTCAGGAAAGGCCTCAAGGAAGAAGGTCAGGCTTGCATTGGGCTTTAAAAAGGAAAAGGATTTTGATTTTTAAAACATAGGAGGAGGGCAGACATGGAGTCAGGATCTACAGAGACATTAATCTGCAAAATGGCCTCAGGGGACAAGCTTACAGGGTGGAGAGTTCCAACTGAAGAGCCGTTAGTGATAAGGCTGGCAGCAGAGTCGGGAGACAGCCAGAGAGGCCTTCAACAGCTGGCTGAGATGACTGCACTCCATGGGATATTTTTGAACTGGGATGTGACCCTGGATGCTAATTCA